CCAGTTCTGGGCACCAGAGTTCAAGAAAGATACAGACAAGCCAGGAAGGGTTCACAGGAGGGCAACAAGGATGATCCAGGGACTTGTAACAATGTCCTATGAGGACACATTGAGAGAACTGGGCACGTTCAGCCTTGAGAAGAGAAGACTGACGGGTGATTTGACAGCACTCTACAAAGAAGAGTTGCAATAACAGAGAAGCCTTTTTCCTTATCATTTCCCCCTTCACTTCATTTGGGTAGAACTCACATAGAAGGGCATCCACAGATCTTAAGGATCCTAGTAGGGATATATGGAAACAGGTGTTCCTTCAGCTATCCCAACCCCAAGACATTTGGAGCTTTATATTTTCATGTAAGTACAGCCAATGCAGCTGGCAGAGGATTGAGATTTAGCTAATAGCAAGGGTACAAATGCAAGTACACCCTTGTGGAAGTGAAGCAAAAGTTTACAGTGCAATCACAAATCAAATTATTGTATGCTCCTAAAAACATGATATTTCATCAATAAGCAGACATGGAACAGAAGACATCTGACAGTCCATGACACATGGATGGAACTAATTTAACAAAATACATAAATTGTACACAGGTGCCAAAAGGAGCTATGCAAGAATATTTTACAGAATGCAATGAGTGCCTTCAGTGTTCCAGTTATTCTGGATTTTAGTTCATTTTGTGGCTTTTCTAGGGAGGATGGAGTGGTCACATAAGCCCATTACTGAGCTGCATAAACATCTTTGGTTGTACCACTGATGTCTATGGCAGCTCCCATTTTTGCTCCTGGTGAAACAATTATCTGTATGAACCTATCTAGAAAGGGTTATGGCTCAGTCTACTCCTTTTAGTCTCTAGGTGTTTCTTCCTTCTTCCTCCAACCATTTCATTCCACTGATCCCACACCTAGCTATTTTTCCCAAAGTGGCTTCATTCCATTTCTACTTTCATCCAATTATTTCCCCCTTAGCTTATCAAATATCCTGTATCATTGAATTATCATTGGATTGCTTGCTGAGATTCCACTCTCTCCTTAAGTTGTTTCTTAAGGTTTTTCAGATACCTTGTCTCTGCTGATTGCTCCCTCATGTGGGGGCAGTAGACTTGGTTACATTTGCACAAGCCCAGAAAACCTGGAATTATTATTAGAAGGATCAAGTTAGAATATTACTCTTGATTTTCTTAAGACTGCACAAGTTGCTTTTACTTTATTCATCATCATCATCATCATCATCATCATTATTTTTGCCTAGGCAGGCAAGGTAGACATATCTTTCCAATCATAGAAAAAATACTGAACAAAAGCTACAAGTATGGGTCTGTTATTGATTGTTTGAAGGTACTTGCATACATGAGACATACAATAATTCTTGCTTCAGTTGATTTACAGCAGGGATGAGGGCAAAAATCAGTTTTGGAGAAGCTCTCAGGGACCACATTCCACTGGTGGGTACTGCTGAAAGCAAACGGAGGAAGGTGGAAGATAAAGGGTTTCATCAAAATACAAAAAACCACCTGCGTATCGTGGCTTAAAACTATTACTGTGAGTAACTACACCTTCAAAGACCCATCAAATGCTTTCGGAATGGGAAAAAATGTAAAAATGCTGGGATGCCACCAAATAATAAGTAGCTGCAGGAAAGGAGGAGGCAGGGTAGGGTTTCTAAGGAACTCTTCAGGGCCAGAATGGGACCCTGGGTCAGCCAGATTTCCCCACAGGGCTGAGGTTCCCCAGCCTTGATTTATAGTCTGAATGTAATGCCAACATTGACCAGAATATTCACTGCCATTACAAATGTCTCTTTCTCTTCTGACATGACAATGATATGCGTAGAAGTAGACAATGAAGGAAAGCAGAAGGAAGGCAAAGAAGTCTTTGGTTTCCTAGCCAAGCCAAAAGGAAAAAAAACCCTCAACTCTGAACAGAAAACAAAAAAACCTGTTTTCTTCATAAGAAACTATTGTCAGGGACCTGTTCCTATAAGGGTACTCTCCACTCTGCCTCCAGGCCCAATTTCAGTGTGCTACGGGCAGACAAGAAAAAATAACCCATGCAGTGTTGCATGTGATCCTGCATTGCATTGAAACACCACAATTAGCCTGCCAGCACAAGGATGGCATGCCTATTAGTGGATTCCTGGCATGGATGCATAACAACTGAGGTTGCCATGATCAGTTCCACAAGATGCCATGTTCACTTCCATGTGACTTAGTGCTTCTTGCCCATCCACATCATGATTAAATCAAGCCATGTTGTGATGGTAGTTCTTTATATCCAGGGGAGGCTAAACCAAAGCTGTTGAATTATTTTCAGTGTTTGGATCAGATGTCTGCCCCTGCAAACCAAACTAGTGGGTTGGATGTTGTGGAGGGTTCACCAGCTCCAACCTTGTCCAACCTTGTCTAGGTTCAGGGGCAGGGAAATACAGCCCTCCAGATTTCTGCTCCCATCATCCCTCCGCATTGCATACACTGAATAAGGCTGTTGGGAGTTGCAGTCCAACATTTGAAGAGCCACACTTTGCACACCCTTGCTCTGGTTAAGACACAGATATTTCTAAAATCACAGGAAGACAGAAGGTATTGTATGTGTAGTTTGAGAAATGTGCGCCTACTCCACGAATTCATGCCCTATTTTCAGCCTCTTGCAGGAGTGCTCTTGCAACTTAGGATAGGTGGAACTGCACATTGTGCAACAAATATGACTTTCCCCAACCTGCAGTCTGATGTGTTTTCACACAATAATGTGGTGGTTGGGCAGGGGAGAACTGGCAGGCAGGAGCAGATGTTCAGCTAAGAATGTAACTAGAGTCATTGCTGGATCACGCCAAAGACCTGCTAGTCCAGCATTCTGTTCACACAGTGGCCAAGCAGCCGCTTGCGGGAAGCCACCAAGGGGGACAGGAAGGCAACCTTTCCCTTCCGATAACTCCCAAAACAAAAATTAACCTAGCTGGGCAGAAAAACCATGGAGGAAGGGAAGGGAGAAAGGGCTAAACAACCTTTTCCTTGCTTGACAATTGTCTCCTGCAAATGCTCCTTATCATTTAACTGCAAAGCTAGAAGAACATTTGTTCTCAAGCATTTGCTTAAATATTCCTAAACAATTGTTAGTTTCCCCTGGCATAATACCAATGGCTTTCCTGAACTGTGTCTTTTGTCATGTTAATGAGTATTATGAACTTTTTCTTTACTACTTTTACACTTTACCTTATACTTTTGCTAGCAATTAATAACTTTTTCACATGGGTTTTATGCACAGTGAAGCATAACAAGCCTTCCTTTCTTCTTTTTCTGTTTGGGTGAAAGTTGCCTCCAGAAGAGTTTTCTCTTCTACCATTTCACACTTGCCTTTGCAGGTCCGATTTGGCAACGTAGGCATGGTGTTTAATGGGGCATTCTGTGACAATTATATGCTGATTTATAAACAGAACTTGTCACCTCCTGATTATCTTCTGACTAGGGAGGGAAGGAACGTATATATGTTTACACAGAAATCAAGTATTACTGTACCCAGGTTAATTCCTCTTAAGAGCATAGGATTGCTGCCTGTGTATGACTTATTACTATGGCTTTGGGAATTATACTATATTCTTTCCTCTAGCTCTCCCATACTAGAGACATTCAAAAAGAAACTGGGCAGCCATCTGAGTGGGATGGTGTAAATTGGTATCCTGCAACAGCACAGTGTTGGACCCAATGGCTTTCATAGCTCCTTCCAAGTCTACTATTCTATGAGTCTATATTGCTCAAATCTTGTTTTATCTTTCTTTACATACAAGCTTTGCCACAACTACATGTTAAATTTCGTTTGCTTCTTTTGCAAATCTCTTTCAGTTACAATAGCCTCTATATCTTATGTGTACATAACAAAAACTTCCATATTTTCTAATAAAGTAGTCTTTAAATGTGCAAATTATCACTGTTATGCGTGCAATGAGGTCCAAGCTACAATCTTCTGCACAATTTACTTGAGAGTAAGGCCCACTGGGAGGTCCTTTGAAGTAAACATGCACAGGAGCAGAATACCACAGCCTCCAGAAACTTCTTACAGAAGCATAATTTTAAAAACCAGCAAAATGCTGCACAACTATACCCTAATATAACAATGCAATGGTTAGTCTGGCCACATTCTTTAAAGTGTTAATGAAAGCGTTTCCGTTTAGGTTTGCAGACAAACGAACTTAGTGAAGACTCATTTGTTGCTACCAATCTGGTGCACTGATCAAATTATTTAACAGTATCATGCTGAGGCTTTCTGCATTTAAAGCTCTTTCATACCTTTCTTCTCAATGTTTCTTACAACAACCCTGCAAAATAGGCCAGAAAGCAGCTCTGCCTGAGAGGGCAGTGGCTTGCCTAAACTCACCTAGCAAGTTCCTTGCCAGCTGACAATGGAGCTCAACTCCAAGACTCTCTGCTTCCATTCTTAACCCCTACCCGACCCCAGCTTTCAGGATGTATGTGCAGGATTTTTCCTGCACATGCTCTTACATCAAGTTTCACTGGATGGCAGTAATGAAATCAGAAAGTCCACCATACAATCCTGTATTCCAAATTTTACTCTGATTCAACCTGGTCAAAGAAACAACTCTTGCATCAGAAATAATGAACATACAGTGTTGCTTGTCTTTATGCAAAGCCAATCTGTGGAGGTGGGAGTTGTGAAACCTTATTTACACTGTCGATCAAATTAGTTTCACTATCTTTTTGAGCACCAGGACTGACATATACCATGTCTAATATATCCTCCACGTTTCCAATTAAATGCTTGATGCTATTGACACTCACTCACTGAAATTTACTAGAGAAGATAACTTTAACAATTAGGGTTGGGATCTTCTACATGCAGCGCTTGCTATTTCATCCCAAACTCGAGCTCAGGTATGCTAAACCGTGCATCTCTTTCAGAGACACAGAGCCAGCAGTCGGCTCCTTAAACTTTCTGCCAAAAAAGAAAGTCACTCTCCCGTCAACCCAAATGTAGAAATGGGCGTTCCTTACCTGAGTGAAGTAAAGATTCATCAGGGTCAGTGTGAAAAACTGGAGACACACTGGAAAGCAATAAAGGAGCCAGAAGGCAAAGGGTCTGAGAGAGTTTGCGGTGACCACGTCCTTGAAGTAAAATGAAAAAAGCACGGCCCGAAGAGAAGCCCAGAGCAGGCACAGAAATAAAAAAACGGTCTGGTAACTAAACCTCTTGTGCCGGTGGTGAAGGACCAGCCAGAGCTGAATGTAGATGAACAAGAACAGGAGGGAATAAAAGACAGTGTAGGCAATCGTCAGACCCAGCCTCACGTACGGAAGCACGGCTGGAGCCAGCGTGGATGGAAAGGTGTCGTTTTCTGCCGAGCCCCATTCCAGGGTCTCCATCGGAGCGTCGGATTACCCAGGCGGAGTGCGCTGGTCAGCCCTGCCCGCTGCTGCCGCGGTCGCCGCCTCCTCCGCCTCTCATTTTCTGCAGCAGAGGAACCAAGGAAAAGAAAACAAGCCGTACTTCCTCTTGGGCTGCCTCGGTGACGGCTTGCAGCACATGATCGGCAGCCAGAGTGAGTCAGCAGGGCCGCCTCCGTCAGCAGTTGGCAAGGGACGCCTCAGAAAAAGCTGCCCCCTTTCTGCCCTCGCGTGTGCGTGTGGGTGCGCGCCCGCGCTCGAGTTCCTCGGCCCGTGTCCTTTGCAACAGTCCGTGCCCCTGTGTCCGGACAAGATTTCTTCTGAGGCACCATCGTCTGGACTTGAAACTTCTAAAAGGCCCGAAGAAAGAAGTGTAAAACAAATCACGCGAGTGGACGATCCTAAATTTCCTTTATTCAAGCCTCGCGTCATCTGCACGAACACACGTACACAGTGCCACACAGACACACTAAGCGTTCAAAATGCAATGCTGGATTACGGTTGCCTTTTAGCAAAATTGGACCTTTTAGCGGCATCAGTTCATACAGCAATGTGGGAGCAAAAGGGCAAATCAGCACTTGACCCGCTCTTAAGGCATCCTAAAGAGCCTTCGAGGGTGCGCCCCGTCTAGTGGATTGTCTCGTACTTGAACAAGGAAAATTCAAAATACAGAACCGAGGTCTGGGCATAGAAGAAGTGGTGGGGAAAGAGTGAAATTCAATGTGGCCATTCCCTGAAGTGTTTCCAACCTCCATCTTTGCATAGTCTTTCCCAGCAAGTAAAAGAGCAATATCGAGCATGGAATGATTGATGTTCCTTCACACTATGCTTCCAGTTTTCAGTGCCTCTAGTGAGCTGTGGGGAGGCACCACGACAAGAAGGCGGATGGTGGATGGTTTACCGAACAGATGACAAATTGGGTGTTAGCAGAAAAAAAGCAGATGTATCTCCTAATGCCATATGCAAGTTTAGGGAGGGACAGAGAATATCTGATAAAATTTAGGTTGCTAACTCAAGATTTCTCTAGTCAGATTGATGGCTCCTTTTAACACTCTAGTCTGTAAGATGTATTTGCTTGTTTATTAGTAATCCTTGTATACTGCTCAATACAATTATATCTCTAAGCAGCTTACATACAAAATATTAAAAACCACATATTTAATGATAAAGAGAATATTTGCCATTTCTGGCTGAGCTATCCAAAGGACTCTAATTGCTGGTACAACATTTTTTTATAAATAACAAGAACTACAGAAGAAAAAATGGAATGCAAACTATTCTCAATCCTTTAATACTTAATAATATTAAGTATTGATGCTGTGAACCACCCAGAGTTTGGCTATTTGGTGGAACAGAAACAATGATACTGAACTAGCTAGTGTAGAGGTGAGAGTAATTAGAAGTTTCTCCTGCCTGGTGCCCCCTAGGTGGTTTGGAATGCAACTCCCATCATTTCCAGTAAGCATAGTTAGTTTCTGGCTGGGAGTGATGAGAGTTGCAGTCTAACAGCTCTGAAAGACACCAAGTTCAGTAAGGCTGGATTTCAGTGTTGGGTTGACATTAATGTCTCTATGAGCATAATATATCTGTGTGCAGGGGAGAGTTCTCTAGATGCATGCTAGAATACAAACCTAAGTCTTGAAATGAAAATGGGCGAATTAGCAGTCCTGTAAGGATCCTTAAAGTTATGTAAGGATCATAACTTTAGTGCAAGAAAGTATATGGCACTTCACTATCCTCCTTCCAGTAACTTAAGTTCATTTGTGAAAGAAGAACTCCTGCACATGACACAGAGCCCATGGCTGCTGTCTGCTTTAAGCCACCTTGGGTTCCTTGCAAGAGGAAAAATGGTGAGATAGAAACCTGAGGATGATGATAGTGGTGATCAATGTCAAGAAAGTGAATGCAAATATGCTGGGGGAGTACAATCAAAAGAACATTAGAGTTTATTCAGACATACAGGAAATGCCTGTAGCATGCAGGTGGCCCTCAGAAAGGCCTATCAAGATGGAGTCTGCACAGGATCTTTTTATAACCTATCATGTATGTATAGTTGGGGTAGTTTGCTCAAGCTGCAAGAGAGTGGAAACAAAAGGGTTGAATGGATTAAGACAAGGGACCAAAAAGAGACAAAAAGTTTTAGGACAGGCATATATTGGCATATGTATACTGGTGATCTGGTCAGGAAACCACCTTGTAAGTCTCAGGATGTTCTTGTGGCAGCCATATTACAGCAAAGCTTTCCCTCATTTTATCCTGACACCAAATACAAATTTTTGCTTGAATTAGAATGGTTTTGCAAGGAGTGGGGGTCAGGGCCCATGTCTTAACTGCATTATGGGCCCCGGGCAAAGCAATGTACTGGGGCCCCTACAACAACTACAACTACTGTAAATTTTGGAAGTTTTCCAATTTTCCAAGGGTTAACATACACAGATTAATATGGGGCCCACGGGCAAGTGCCTACCAGGCCCATGCGTTAAGATGGCCCTGGTGGGGGTTGAAGTATACCGAATAAAGGCTAGTCCCACTTGCAAATGCATGATATGATTGTGGTTGTACAACTAAAACAGGCATTATTTTAAATCCATGTCTAGCAGCTATGTCTTTTCAAAATGCTGCTGTAGAATAGGCACAGCACCTCCAATTTAGACCAGACCCATAGAAGCCCTCCGCACCAGCCTATGCTAGGAGTCTGTTCCAGACTGGAGCCCTGTATCTACTCCGGATTAAAAATGTAGCCACTAGAGATGGATTTAAAGGAATGACAGTTTGGATCCGTTTGCTCAGATTTTGGTGGCCCTGTCTGTCTAATGGCAAACATTCAAGAATCTGTGAATTAGTTCCTTATTATTCATTATTGTCAGCAATTTTTACATTTTGTTTCTGTTTGTTTAAGTGGAAGAGAAGTGGAAAATTGAAGCTAACAGTGGTTTTGATTATTCTGCCCCATGAAAGTAGCAAAATTATTCACATCTCTCTTTACGATGTAAATAAAGGAATAGCAGAAAACACTTTATGTACACTTGTGAGAATTATAAAAGCTGAGAGCTAATATACTCCAAGGGACTTCTTTCCTATTATACTATAAATAATATTGCTCTTTGGTAAACAAACAACAAAATGGCTTCCACAGAGAAGCTAAAAGCTAATGAGCAGATTTCAGTGTTTCTCCAAGATTTCCATTCATTTCAGTGCTTAATGGACTGCTTCCAAAATGTCAAAAAAGGCTTACATCTCCTCAGATGGTGTTGTGGAATTAATGTTATATATAGTCTGGCAGACCAGTTTAATAAAACCAGTTTACTGTAAAACCATTACGTCATGACAGTTAAAAAACACATGCACACAAGTCCAAAAGCCAGAATATTACAGAACTATGAAAATAGTAAAGAACATTCAGGACAATGATCCATAAAATTCAGTAAAATTATTAAGAAAATATGTCATTACAGTGAAAAAAATTCAAATGCCAGACTAATGATACAATTATTAAATATATTGAGAAAGGAAAGCAATCAAGCACTCATTTTAGTGCCCAAATATCAGATTATCTTTCTGTCAGGCTTGGTGGCCAGAAGCTAGACAGGTAGGTAGGTGGCCAGTTTGCTGTTCTGCATATTAAGGCTTCTGGACAGAAGAGTATAACCCTGTATCCTACTCTGGATAAGGATGCCTCCAGACAGAGGGCACCCAGTTAGACAGGAAAATGGTGGGGAAAGGTAGTGAGAAAACGTGGGATGGTTACAAGAAGATGATGATGTCTGCCTCTCCCCATGAAATCTCTTGAATGAGGCAGAGCAAATAATATTATTAAAGTCTGGTCTGGCATCTCCCAGCTAGTTAACACCAGCTGCCCCAGGGAAGGCTTTCTGGACAGAAAGGGAAGCATACCAAGGTCACCTCAAGTGCCTGCTTCAACTGGATTTTCCTCTTCTCGAACTGGGCCTTAACGACAAACTGTCCTGTGGGCAGAACTCAAGGAGAGAAAGAAAAATGGGCTAAGACCTCCTTGACATGATATATTATCATACATAGATGTGTTATGTTGTAGTATGAAGGAAATCCCACAGAGCACAATCACTGCCAGCTTAGCCCACTTGCACTAGACTGTCTCTTCCTCCGCCTACAGGGCCTTCTGGCATCAGCTGCCATGCAGGAAGGACCCTTATGAATGGTCTATTTTTATACTATTTATTGCAATTTAGTTCATTCATTCATTGTATTTCTATCCACCTTTTCCCCCTCCTCTCCTCACAAGATAATCCTCACAACAACCCTGTAAAGTACATTCAGCCGAGAGTCAAGTGACTGGTCAAAAGTCACCCACTACACTTTATGGCAGAGCTAGAACCCCAGTTTCCTGAGTCCCAGTCTCACACTCTAAGCAGTACACCGTACTGGCTCATAATGTAGGTTTATATTACTTCTAACCCAATCTGGAATGATATGCATCCTGAAAGGCATCGTGTAATTGTAATACATAAATAAAAGTAGATGGCCTGGTGGGGCAAAGAGCAAGGTGCTAGTGCTTAGTTTGAATCCTTCACCACTTAACACAATCTTGCACATAGTCTTTGAAGAATTCCTCAGGTGGTATTTGTAAATATTGGCATTCCACTGGTTATAAATATATCTGTTCCTGTTAATAAGTATTTCACTGCATGTAAAGCAGATTCTTTTTAAAAAGTAGTGCTAGCCGGGGCTGGTGATAGCACCATGATAGGCTATCTTCTAAGTTCCAGTCTTCCCCCAGAGCATTATGCAGACAAAGAGGCTATAATCTCAGAATTCTCCTGCTTTGTTGTGGAGGGAGATAAGACTCCCCAGGCCACTCTGTGGACCTTCAATCCATGCAGAGGCTCCTTCCTCTGTGTGTGTGTGTTAGACTGGCACACAGATGTTGGAGATCAGCATAACCATCAGACTGGACTTGCAAAAGGCTCCTGAAAGAGAAGTAAGTATTCCTTCTTCTCAGACAGGGCTGCAACCAGATGCCAGTCTGCTGGGCCTTAGTGGTCTGGTGTATAAAAACAACACTGATATCCTGAGACTGCAGCGCCTTCAGTCTATTCACTCTTGGCTTTCTTGAAGTATGTGATCTATTG